ATTCAGATTTTTATTTGGTGCTGAAGAAGCAAACTTACATCCTCATGGTTTTGTTCTCAGCACTTTACCAACTGAGACCTCTTTACAGCTCCTTAAAAACAGGAATTCTTTAACTAGAAAACTGTTTCTTTAATAAAAGCCATAGATCACTTCTGGGGTCTTCTACCAGCAAACAACTGGTACAGCTCCATTCTGTGTTGAAAGTACTATATAAACACAGCCACAAAAGAAAAATAGGGAATTCAACCCTTTGTCTTGTCCCCCCCCCAACAAATAATGGGTGTTTGGAGGAACAAGAAACATTTTCAGGAGTAGATCTTTCCCAGCAGATAAAAAGGAGTCATTTTTTAAAATATGAGCCAAGAAATAATATTATGAATACCTGACTATTTTGTTCTTGTCATTAAGACATGACTGTCTAACAGAGTAAACCATGCTGTGTGCTCCACTTGTCTAGATGGATTTTATTGTGGTTTCAATAAAGGATGTCAACTAAAGTGTTAGGTAAGTAGCCTTTGATTTCTAAACCAAGGCAGAAATCCAGGTTTGCTCTTTGGTTCTTTATGCACGTATTCTTGGAACCCATGAATTTTGCCTTGAACTTTCATGGGGAAGGCAGGAAGAGCCACGGTCTGGACAAGACTTTTCATTTCATGTCAGTCACAGCTCTGACATTCCTGTTCTCTTCCACGTTAGCATGTAGCATGGCTGGAGGCCTGTATTTTGCTTCATTTACTGACCAAGTAGATGAATGCATGCACTTGACAATTTGACAAGTGTGCTATGTGTGCAGAGAAGGAGCTGCAGCTGGTGGCACTTAGCATTTTAATCTAGGAAATTTCTCACCTGTATGTTGCCTCACTTGACTAGGGTTTGTCAGGTCATGTCTGGAATGTAAATGTATTTCTGCCTCTTAGGTGTGGAAAAAAGCCACTGTAAAGGTGAGCTTTTTAATTTTCAGGGTCATGTATAAAATAAGGATGCAAGGCTTGCAGAAAAGAAGGAATTTTAAGACTGAAGCAGAGGGCAGGGCTGGGGAACACAGAGAAAAGACGGGGTCATGTCATCTTTGTCATGCTTTTCAGATGGAGAAAGGCAAGAGAGAGCTGAAGGTTTAAGTCAGCACGGCACAGCATTGTGTGAGACCGACAAGTGCTCATGGGTCTAAACAGACTAGGGGAGAATCACAAGAAATTCTTACATCTCTTGACCCTAAGTTGGCTTAATTGGGTGTTATTTTCTCACTGATACAAACAAACAGCTCATAGGAAGCAGCTTAATCTCATGGATGAATCATGGTTCAATGGAGTATGGTTCAATGTAAAATGAAAGGCAGGGGCACAGAAGAGTGAAGCTGCTTCCTAGTCACTTTTCTTGGGAACAAGAAGGAAAGGCCAGACAGTAAGCTGGGTTAGTCTTTTTCTTAAAAAAATATTTACATGGATATGCCTGCTTGTCTGTGTATGAGCCAGGTAAATTCAGTGCCCCATGGAGGCTGGACGAGGACACCAAGTCCATTGGAATTGGAATTACTGGTGGTTGTCAGCGGTCTGGTGTGGGTGTTGGTAACTGAACCTAGGTCTCCTGCAAGAGCGTCAAGGGCTCTTCACTGCTGAGTCCCTTTGCAGCACATAACCTACCTCCTTCAGTTAGACTCTACCTTCCCGAAAGTTCCAAAAGATGCTCAAACGGCATCACCTACAGTGGAACAAATGTTCAAATATCTGAGCCTATGAGGGGAGCGGTTCTTCATTTCTAGACTCTAGTAGCCATGTACATGTACGTGCTTGTGTTCTCTAAGTTATGTAGGTTGGAGCAAGCAAGCTCAGCAGTTAACTTATGGTAAAATAAAACATGAGTCAAGTGCAAGAAAAACTAATGGAATAAATCAAAAGTGCCAGTCATTCCTTCCTTCTGTGTCAGAGCCCTTTTTCCTGCTTAGTTTTTGTTAGAGTAGAGAGAGAACTGAACAACAAAGGACCCAGTGTAAATTTATGAAAGTATGCAAACTGATCTTGAACTTCCAAAGGCCCTAGACTTCATAGAAATAACATTTAGGCCCTTCTTCCATGTTTTTGCATCTGGAGAGGGGGGCCCCTTTGTGCAAGTGCTGAGTGACATCTTTGAGCATATTTCTTTCCAGTAAAAGTGGAAAATATCAACCAAGGTTTCAAAGGAAAGGAAATGTAATGTATTTTCTCATCAAATTTGGCATTATCTATTTAGCAGGCAGGCCTTTAATCTTCAGTGTGGTATTTTTCCATTGTATAATTCTGAGTGTGCCTTAAATCTGTCTCACCCTTTTAACTTCTTCTTTCTGAAATACGAATAGAGTTTGCATAAAACTTATCTTCTTTTCCCATTTGTTTCCTCGATACTTTTGATTATCACTTGCCAGAGTTCCTCTGGAGGAGCTTTCTATTTTGCCTCTGCAAATATTCAATGTAACACAGATAAAGCTTCTTTGTTAGCATGAATTCATTTATGACCTGGATAAAAAAGAACTTTCCGTGTCTGGCATCCTGGGAGGACCAAAATGATTGGAGTTTTGTTGATATGGACATATAAAATGAGAAAAGTGAAATCCTAGGTATTTTTTGTAAGTTCTCATTAAAATTTTTGAATAATAAGGAAAGTCAAACACTTTTGTTCCAGAATTTGGGGGTAGCAGACAAATCAGCATCCTTGCCACTATCCTTCTTTCCTAGAGCCTGAAGAATTGTGGGACTGATCTCTAGGAGTTAAACTTTAAAATTGCAGCATTATTGCATTGCTTCCAATAGAGATATTTGAAAACAAGCAAAGGGGAAGGAAAGTCTCCAGGGCTAGGAAGAATCAGGGTGCCCTGATGAGAGGCATTGGAATAGGGTGCATCAGTCGGATGTGCGAACAATGCAAACAGAACATTTGCAAAGCTAAGGATTCACAGCATCCTTACAAACAGTATATAGGACAAACAAGGAGAGACATTTTAATCACTCCGCATGCACTGGCAAGGTTATGTCTGTGACGGAGTCTTAAATTTTCTTAGAGTGGTTTCATGAAGTATTCACATCACATATCAAGCATCCTTGTTCATATCCTATGTTTACTAGTCAGCCTAATAAATATTCATTAATTAACTTTGTAGATCAGCTTTGAAAGAGGTAAGCTCATACTATATATTCACAATAAAGTCTGGTTTCTTTCGCATGCAAATCTGTACATTGAAATTCTAGTCTTGCATATAAAACAGGTGACTAGGTGAAGAAAAGTAATTATCGGAGATGAACCCAGATGAGGGGTGCCTGAGGCTCTGGTCCTCTCGGTGCATCTCTCTGGATGCTCCCAGTCAAGTTTGTAACCAAGGCAACGTCATGTGTCCTCATTCAGCTTAATGAGAAATGATTTTCTCATTCTTACATTAAACTTAATTCTCCTCTATTATTGACCCGTGTTGATTCCCAGATCACAGTGAGAACAGCTCTGGTTGATTCAGCTTCTCCTTTGCCTCCTCTTATAGTCTTCAAATTCTTTTCCATTTCTGATCCCTAATTTTGATCTTGTCATAAAAGAGGGACCCTCCCCCACAGGCCTACAATTGGAAGGATGTCAAAATTAGGTTCTAGGCTTTTTGTGTAGGATTCAATTGATATATTGCTCTTATAAATTTGTTTGAAATTCTTATGTACCCATCAGGACTTTTGAGATCATTATTTTAATGAATTTTACTTATTTTAATGACTTTTTGGTGTTGCCTATGCTTGCTTCAGATGGGTAACACCTAGTTGGATATTTCTTATGTTGGCTTTTGTTTCACATACTAGGATTTGTTCTGTCTTTATCCCATGTGTGCTGTTGGCTGACTTCTGCTCCATGCATAGATCTTGTTTCATTTTTCCTCCACTTGCCTTAACAGAGGAAGCAATGGTCATGCTGCTGCTGAACCAGGCTCCATCTTTGTTACCTCTTTCTTAATATAGCCCTGATATCACTGAGATTACAGCTTTTGGTTTTTCCAATCTTTGGAAAATGCCATTTGAAGCTATACAGTTCATCACGTCGAGGAAGGCATGGCATTGGAAGGCATGGTGGTAAGATCATGACTGATAACATTATATCCAGACAGGAAGAGAGAGGGGAGTGAAAGGGAGTGGGAAGGGAGAAGGAGAATGGAGGAATTCAGGAGAAAAAGAGAGAGAGACAAAGAGAGAGACAGAGACAGAGAGAGACAGAGACAGAGACAAAGACAGAGAGACAAATGGAGGCATAGAGACAAAAAGAGACAGACACAGACAGACAGAAAGAGACAGAGGCAGAGAGGGAGAGAGACAATCTGAGAGAGACAGAGAGAGACACACAGAAAGACAAAGGCAGAGAGGGAGAGAGAGGTTGAGAGAGAAAGAAAGAGAGAGGGAGAGAGAGAGAGAGGTATGGAGGGAGCAGGAAGCAGGGTGAGACTATCCTCAAAGCCGATTCTCAGTGACATACGTCCTCCATAACCTCTCAAAAAGTCCAACCAACTGGGGACCAAGTGTTCAAGCCTATGAATCTGTGGAGACATTTCTCACCCAAACCACCACAGCTCCCCCTTTACTGTGGAGGTCAACCAAAGATTAGCCAGAAGAAATTTGAGAAACCAATGACCTGGAGAATTTGAATACCAAATCCTGATAAAAACAACGCAACAGACAAGGGACTTTTGGGCTTTAGATTGCTGGTGAGAAGACTGGGACGGTGGGTAGTGAGGGTCTGTGGGTGGCAGAGACTCTGATAAACTACAGGAGCAGAAGGGTATCAGGGCTCCAGGATGGAAACTGACATCTGGGAACTATGCATTTTGGCAGCCATCCATCACAAAAGCCCCAGGGATCCCAGTGGAAAAATCACAGCACAATGAGCTAGGAGTGACCCATGTCTAGAACAGGGTGTAGATAAGCCACCTGGGGATGGAGTGTAAAGCCCTACATCCAGAAAGCCTCGCTCATACACCTGTTTTCCATCCCTAGCAGGTGTGGTGACATTATTCTGTTTTGGAAAACCTGGGTTGATTTTCAGCATATTTTCTTGGTGTCATATGAGGAATCTGAGTGTCAGTTTCAATTCGCATGAAATATCTGGGTTTACATGGTAACAAGGAGACTTTCTACTCTCAGGTAATTTTATATTTTCTAAACTTGGGAAATGGACCCGTGAAAATGTAGCACTTTGCTTTTACCCACTTCCAAAATGTCTGTAAAAATGATCACTCTCTATACTCCACCATCTCTGTTCCCCATTTATATTATTTTCCTTTGGTTTTAGGTGAAATTAATCTTGCCATTATTAGGTTTCTGTCAATCAGAATGCCGTGGTGGGAATGATGTCTATGGATTTTGTTAAGCCACAGAGCCCCCTCTCTCTCTTTAATAAATGACACATATTCAAGAGGAAAAAAACGTCACCTTTAAGAAGCTAAAACAAGTTGACAAATGTTTCTTTAAGTGGAGCTAATTGAATGGAATATTTTAAGACATTTCCATGGAAAATGTTACAGGACATCCCCAGAGGATTTCAGGGAACTTTTACAGCTATTTCCTACTCCATCGGCATTTTACGGGATCCTGTGGAAAGCAGGGGTGGTTAATTTCTCTTGGTTAATGGAGGGTCCCCAAAGCACAGACAGTTGTGTCCTGAGACAATGATGCTGGCTAGTGTTATTACCATGCATGGCTGGGCTCCATAAATGGCATGAAAAGGGGGCAGTTGGGTCTGGCACATAGGGAAATTCTTTGTTTTTTTACTGAATAAGCCTCACAAATGTGCTACCTAAGTCCTTTCGATAGTCCCCAGAGAGAAGTTGTTTTGAAAATTCTCACTTATACTAGAGGATTCTGTAATTCATATATTTATTTTTTAAAGATTATTTACATTATTTTAAAAGATTATTCATTCTGTTCATTTATGTGTGTGCACATGTGCATGCATGCATGTTCATACATATCTCAGAGAAAGCATGGTAATCAGAGGACAACTTTCTGGAATGTGTTCTGACATTTCACATTATTGAAGGGAGCATCTCTCATTTCTTCAGCTGGGCTTTGTACCCCAGGCTAGTAGGTCACAGGCTTCTAGCTGATTTCTCCTGTCTCTGCATTTTCTTTTGTCACTGGAGTTCTGGGATTGCAGCTGCACACCTCCATGTCTGTGTTTTGATTTGCGATCATCAAGGGATGGAACTCAGGTTGTCAGGCTTGCACTTTGACCAACTGACCTTTCTCTTTGGCCCTTGGTTGTGACATTTTAAATGTCACCAAGTGACAAATGATTGATTTCTTATTAATGTGAAGACATGCTGTGTGTAAGGGTTCTGAATGGCTGTTAGCTTCCAGTTTTGCTCATTTTCATCTGTCATATTTTGCTTCTAACATATGCATTGTAAAGTTGCCACTCTCAGGCCCATGGCCCTTTCTCTTTGAAGCAAACATCAACACATAGTTAATACAGGCTTTCACATTACCATCTCATGAAGATTTAGTGTTCTAAAATATTCAACGGATAGCACACTGATGTACCACAATCATGCAACTATTTTATGCCACTTTTTTCATTTGTATTCTGAACTCTTCAAAATGAATTTGCGATGTGCAGTAATGAGCGCTCGTGTGAATTAACAGTTGAGTGTCTGGCTTCTGGCTGAGAATTCACATGGTGTAATCACAGATGCCATTTAGAAGGAAAACACAGGAAAGCTGTGTTTTTTTAAGTCCTGACATTGAGACTGTGGTATCACTAGCATTCTTGATCTGTTTTCATGCTTTTCTACACTGTGTTCTCTTGCAGAGACATTGTAACTGGAGGGCTTACAAATAGTGCCGGAGAAATGAACCAATGGATAAAGGACTTGCTGAGTAAGTAGTAGGACTTGAGTTTAATCCCCATGTAAAGACTGGGCACAGTAGTGTGTGTCTGTCAGAGTAGTAATGGGAAGGCAGAGATAAAAGGATCTGTAGAGCTTCCTGGATGGCCAGTGTAGCCAAGCCAGTGAGCTCCAGGTTCAGTCTCAAAAAATAAGGTGGAGAGTGATTGAAGAAAGTACTAAGCTTTGATCTGGGCACAACTTTCATATTCACATTCATGGTGACACACATATCCACATATGGGCACACACACACACACACACACACACACACACACACACACACACACAAAGTGAAAAAGACAATCACTTTTCGGTTTGACTTTCGATTTCTCAATAGCTTCTTTTCCACACTGGGAATGAATTATGAGGTTTTATTCCATGTTTTGTGGGACAGAAAGTGTGTTTCAATGACCCACTTTGGTTCACAGATTCCTTTCTTCAAAGAGCCGATAGTAGAATTCCAGGATTGAGAGTTGTGAGTCTCATCTACTTCCTACTGGCAGAACTTTGTGGAGATTCATTTTGAAGCTGTTGCCCTCTTATAAAGAAGCCACAACACTGTGTACCCCCCCATCTGTTCCTCCCATTCAACTCTTTTTAATTTCATTAGAAAATTTTCTCCATCTTTCTTCCTTTTCTTTCTTTTCTTTCTTTCTTTCTTTCTTTCTTTCTTTCTTTCTTTCTTCCCCTTCCTTCTTCTCTACTTTTCTCTTCTCCTCTTTTCTCTTTTCCATCCTCTATTTTTCTTTCTTTTGTTCCCCCTCTCTCTTCCTCACTCTGCTTTCTTTTTCTTCTGCTCCCCTTTCTTCTCTTTCTCCATCTCCTTCATTTTCTTCCCACCTCTCTCCTCTCCCATCCTGTTGAGGGTAGCTGATGCAGTCTACCAGAATGATCTGAGTTCAGCTTTTCCTATCAACCAACTATCTATATCCTCTCTCACAGTAATATCTAGGTTATCGCCCAGTGATTACTTGTCTAGAATGCCACCTTTGGAGAAAAGTGGGATGTTTTTAGAATGGATTTTATCCTGGGCCCTTTTTTCTTTTGGGGAAAACTGTACCTGGACCATTGACAGTAGAATTCTATGCATTTGAATAATTTCCTTAGCATTTAAGTGAATCTGACTCAGTGGCAAGTTGGAAAATACATGAACAGTGACCACAGTCCATTCTGAGATCTCATGACAGCTTCCTAGAGTCATGAATCTCCATGCTCTTGAGAATGTATTTTCTAATGCTGGGACTGTAAGGGAGGAACCAAATTTTTGATTGATCATCTATATAGGAAAAAACCCACCTGATCCCATGGTGGAAGCTCAAGAGAGACATGTGAAATTTAAAGAAAGAGTAACAGTAAAGAGACAGAGAAGAACAAAAAAATAGAAAGAAGAAATGAAAAAAATAAAAAGATGAAAACTGAGAACTGGGGTCTGTCAGTTCCTTCTACAGAGTCTACTGAGTATTTTTCTTTCTTTAACAGTAGAATCAGGGAATAATTAACAGGGAAGTGTCTTCCAAAGTAGAGTTCCTACAGCCCAGAATACTGTATTACTGTAATAACCAAGTGATCAGAGAGTATGCCAACACTGAGTCTGTAAAATGGCCTGTGACTATATAATGGGGACATCTTCCTTTATTGTATAGAGGTTGAGACAGACTTCTCTCTGATGGGGCTGAGAAATTTGAACTTCCGAAACCATTGGCTTAGAATACTTTATTGTAATTTGAGATCTTCAGGAACACAACACCAAACCTACCCCACCCCCCAGCCTCTCTACCTCTATCAGATTCAGCTTAACATTGCAAGGATACATTTATGAGAGTTTCAAGGTCATGGAAATGGGTGTCAAATGATTTGATGTTAACTATCAGTAATCTGATCACAGGTGGTGACCATCAAGGATGCTGGTGTAGCGATCAGTTCGGTATGGTAGGCCCCTAGAGCAGAAGCAGTAAGTGGGAAATTAGGCAGAAAATTTGCAGAGAAATGTGACACAGCATTTGTCAACACTGACCCACCTGTTTTCATGTTTCTGAAAACTGGAGTGACCTCTACTGGGTATTCTTGGGTGTCTGACACCCAATGCAAATGTCTGTTTGGATTGATGGCATGCTCAAGTGTGACTATTTCTTTCCATTGGCTGTACTGCACTAGATGTGCACAAAAGACCAAACTGTAGCCAGCCCACAGCTGCTTATAGGGCGTGGACTGTCATTTTGGTCAAATTCCTGGACTGTCATCCGCCATCTATCACAAGCGTCAGTCTTCAAAGAGAGAACAGGAAAATAAACTTTGACTTTTGCAAGGGAAAAGAGCAGAGAATTGGTTCAGTGATATGAAATTTATTAATTATGCAACCCTTTTGGAGAAGAGATAGACATTTGCACTGTGTTTGGAAACACTAAGGAATTTAACACTTTAGATCCTGACTTATACACAATACACCCACAGGCTAATGTATGCAGCCCTATAACCTCCTCTGGAGGCACTTAAGCAAACTGAAGGTTCCCAGCAATTTCACTGCTGCCTCCTTATTGGTTGTGTTTGCAAAATGCCTTGCTGGACTTCTGTTGATTGCAAAATAAATAGGTCTCTGAGGGAAGAAAACAGTTAATCCATACAGCTTTCCCCCCCAAAGTATCAAAGCTAACTAATCAAAATACATACAAAAGAAAAAGAATTATTGACAGTGAAGGGGTTTGTGGGGGATTTTTAAATGTATTTGCTTTTACAAAAAGAAGATTGTGAAAAATATTACTATTTTTCTAGTTGAAGATGAATTTGATCATCCTGAAAGTATTTTGCCATTTGATAATTAAAAAAAGAAAAGCAAAGAAAACTTGGTCAGAAGACATGGCTCAGTTAGTAAAAGCACTTTTCTTGCAGAAGGAGCATCTAAATTTACTCCTCAGAACCCACATAAAAAAGCCAAGCATGGTGGCATTGGCTTGGGAATTCCAGTGCTGGGGAGGCAAAGGCAGGCTTACTCCTGGGGTTTGCAAGCTAGTTTACCTCATCTACTTGGAGAACCCCAGGCCAGTGAGAGATCCTGCCTTGAAAAACAAGTTGATGGTGCCTGAGGAATGGTCCTCAAAATTGTCCTTTGTCTTTCACATACACATGTATACACATATATATGAACATGTACACACATACACATATAAAGAAAAACGTAAATTTGAGTACTAATTTAATTTAGACACCTGTGAAGGCCACTAGACTGTATGTCCAAAGATACTGGGTTTTAGAGGCAGGATTATTTATTACTATTGTATTTTCATCTAGTTAGGTTAAAAGTTTACAAATAGTGAATATTAATGCTTCTTATAAGATTGATGTAGCATGTTCATGCTCAAGACACTGTATGTGGTTTCCCAACCACAATCCCTTTTGAAACTCATGTTCAGTGATGGTCCATAACATTGCTGTTGCTTCAATGAATGACCTTCATCCTCACTGAGGTACCAGTACTCTTAGGTATTGAGACCTGAGTCATAGGGTTTGGATGTGTTTTTAGAAAACTTTCATTGTGATAAAACACTCATGACAAAGAATTGATATTTTAATCATATTGAAATGTGTCCTTAGTAGTATTAAAATCATTCACATTGTTTAGCAACAGGTTTTTTTAAAAACTTTCCCTTATATTATAAAACTGAATTTCTGAATGCATTAAATAGAAACTACTCACTCACACTTGACAGTGCTTGGCAATCCTTTATCCTTACCACTTCTGTCTACCCACCCAATCCCACAAAACTCTCTTACGTGTTTGTCTATTCATTTTGACTGTGACCCTCACTGAGTTTTATCAGGGCTGTCTTTGTGACTCTGGGTTTGGAGATATCCCTTGTAGCTTGTTGGGCTGAAGCAGTGTGTACACAACTAAAAACAGTGATTTCTCATCTCACAGCATTTACTGACAGCCAATAGTTCAGAAGAAAAAAAAAAGGCCTTCTAAGACCGTCCCTCTTCTATGATTGACTGTTGAAAGGGTAAGTCTTGTGATAGGTTCAATGCAGGTAACTGCAGCTGTTATGAACTAATGATTGCCATGGTTATTTGAATCTAAAAAATGGTAAATCAATACCTTTTATGTAAGAGTTTTAATTTATTTATGCTTGGAAGTATACAGGTCATGGCAAAAAATACTTTTTCTTTCACAATGTCCAAACAGACCTCTACAAGAATTGAACACCAACCCCAGGATTATCAAATATGTTTAGACATAGGTCTATTTTTTTCTAAAGAGAAGTGAGAGACAGGAAGAGACTCCATGGGAATTTTCACACTTCCACATTTTTGGAATCTCACTTTTCCTAAACATTCTTCTCCCTCTTGTCTTTTACTTCTAAGAGATAATAAAGTACCATTTTAAAGTATGCAGCCTTCCTACTGGCTAACTTGAATAGTGATGACAAGGTTCTATGAATGTTACTGGAGAGAAAAAAGTAATAATCAATCTTAACCTGGAGATTGTGTACTACGATATTGAATGGCCTGGCAAGACATGCTCATTGGTGCAATAGTGGTGTGAATGTCATAGGAGTAATCAACAACTTTCTAATTGGATTTAAGCCCACTCTACATGATGAATCCCACAACCAATGCCATTATCAGGACAAGCACTGGGCATTCTCTGGTAAGATAAGGCCATGTAGAAATATACAGATTGATAGTTATGGGTTAATAATTAAGAGAGAGCTTGCCAGTAGGAAGCATAAGCCATCAGACAAACAGTTTATAAGCATAGGCTAATGCATTATTCAACTCCCATCAGAAAACTATTTGTCATAGATGGTGGTCAACACTGACCCCTCCCACACACAACTGGTTAAGGTACAGAAAATAAGAGACTGCTCAGCCCTAAATAGGACATTTATGCCATGCTACCTCCTCCCTAGACTCAGGAATCACTGTAGAAGAAGAGGTTGAGATGACAGTGTTTTCCTATATACAACAGTGCAGCTGTACATGTGAACTCATAGTAGTTATGGCAGCATGTACAAGGCCAGACCAAATTTCAACACAGAGAGAGAAGTTGGGTACAAAGTCACATCCCTGTCCAAGGAGCTATTGGCAACAGATACCTGATGAAAAAGGCATAGACAGTTTCTTTCAAGAGTATAGCCCCTAGCCAGGCGGTGGTGGAGCACACCCTTAATCCTTGCACCCGGGAGGCAAGGCAGGTGGATGGATCTCTGTGAGTTCAAGGCCAGCCTGCTCTACAGAGAGAGTTCCAGGACAGGCTGCAAAGCAATACAGAGAAACCCTGTCTCAAAAAACCAAACAAAAATAGTGTAGCCCCTGGTAATTTAACCATGCCATAGTGGGACACCTCACATTGAAGAATATAGGGCAGCAAAATTGTACTTGATAGCTAAGAAAAAAAAAAGAGGATGAAATGTTGGGTAAGCAGGAAGGGAGAGTAGATCTTGGAGGAGCTGGGGAAGGAGGTTAATATGTAAACTGTATGAAGTTCTAAAAGAACTAATGACAAAAGTACAAATGTATATACATCTTTCAAATATTAGAGGTACCAGAAATCTAAGGGACCTCCTGTAGCAGTTCAGTACTTATCCCTAGCATAGGTGTGGACTTTGGGAGCCCATTCCACATAGAGGAATACTCCCTGAGCCAAGACACACTGGGGTGGGCCTAGGCCCTATCCCAAAGGATACGATAGACTCTGATGACACCCTATGGAAGGCCTCACCATCTATGAAGAGCAGAAAGGATATGTGATAGGTAGGGTTTTAGTTGTGGAGGGTGGTAGGGGAGGACAGGAGGGAGAGGGAACTGGGTTGTCATGTAAAACAATCTTGTTTCTAATTCAAATTAAAAAATATCAGGGTTTACAAAAAAGTATTGGAGGTACAAAAACCCTGTGTTCTGTGAACACTAAAACCTACAGTGGAAAAGTCTATGAAGCAGATTGCATGTTAGAAAGGCCAATACACGCAGACATATAGACACACAGACATACAGACACATACTAGATACATAGACAAATAGACATGTTCATACAAATACAGGTACATGTAAGTGAATGTGCATATATGCACATAGAGAGAGAGAGAGAGAGAGAGAGAGAGAGAGAGAGAGAGAGAGAGAGAGAGAGAGAGATGCTTACACACACACACACACACACACAAACACATATCCAGAAACACAGACTTGGAAATATACACATCTATACATAAACACATAGACAACAGACATGTACACACATAAACATAGACACACAGCTCATCTGTATGCGTACCCTCCCAGAGCAAGCAAATATCTATTAATCATACTCATGTTTACTTAAATTTTAGCAGGTGAATTCCAGAGCCATGTATACCAAGTTTCTTGTCAAATCTAGGGCCTTGTGACTCAGAGCTGGAATCATTTTAATTCTGCTTACACACCACACTGTTCCAATTCCCCTTCTGTACAAAGACCCCAATTGAGAGATTGGATTTGAAATTTGCAATAGGAGAAAATCAGAAGGCCTTTCTTTGTTCTTTTCCTCCCCTCTTCCCTCCCCAGTCTAATGAAATTTGCAGACATGGGAAGAAAACTGAATTATTTATAGGAGTGGGAGGAATGTGAGTGCTAATTGTGCTTAGTCTATTCTTAAGTATGTAACCTGTTTGCTATTAAATTTTACAATCTTTTAGCAATATATACTTTTTTAAAGGAGGGGACTTCATAAATCTGACAAGGAAAAGCCAGAGTAAGTTATTCTGAGGGCTTAAATCAAAGTCAGGTTTAACATCTAAAAACAATATTCCTAGGATAGACTTTTTTTGCATCTTTGATCTGTTAACAGCCTCCCTGGACTAGCTTGTTGCTTTCTGCATGTGTAAGGGTTGTTGTAACTACTCATTGATGTTTTTAGTGTTCAATCGCAGTCAGTTGTCAAGCACTTATACACACTGGTGCACTCATGAAATGGGAGATTATTGAATCGTGTGTCTGAAGACACCACTGGACCTTGACCTTGAAAACCAGCATTTTGATAATCTAATAGTGAAGAAGGTACAAAATATTCTGCCTCCATAAAGAGTCTCTAAGCAGAACATTGTCGTGAGAAATATGTTTATTCCCAGGCTTCCCCTTACTTTCCTTATTGCCTCCATGAAATAATTTTGGGATTATACTGGAAGCCTGCTTGTTAGAAATCAAATCCCTGTTAAAAGAAATTGAAAAAAAAAAAACCCACCCACATCTTTTTAGTGAATTTTCCATGGTGAGAATTTATTTTTTATTTGACTTTGTTTTTATTCGGCTGTCAAGGTTCCAGGGAGTAGAAAATTACTTAAATTACTTAAAGAAAAGACTGGTTTATTAAAAGACAATAACGCCTTTAGTTCACAAGTGGAAAACAATCAGGAGACCAGGCAGCAAGGAGGGCCATGTGGTGTCACTGATACAGCATGCGTTGTCTTTTCTGTTTTCTTTGCATGGCTTTCTCACCTCCTTCTGCTTCTGGAGATGAACCATGATGATCTCCACCTGAATTTTTACATGCTTTTCCTGCTCTCCCCTCACGAATGTTAATTTCATGTTCTTCCTCACAGCTTTAGTTCTTTGTTTTATCTCACATTTCTGCCTAACACATGCTGGCTTTGCTTTCTCTTGTTTGGCTGCCTTAGTCATTCAGCATTGTCAGTCAGAATACTGTAGGGGGGAATCTAAAGGGCTATTCATCGTGTGTGTGTGTGTGTGTGTGTGTGTGTGTGTGTGTGGTGGGGGGAGGGGGTTCATGCCATTCTGTAGGTTGTCAAGTTGGCGTTTTATTTATTTATTTAGGGGCATTTGATATTCACTTTCAATCAACCCAAGCCTTGTGATCCCATGGGCTTCCTGTGCTGTAGACAATTGCTTGTTCTGAAGTTTAATTCACTATTATTGTTATTGAGACATGGTCTCATGCAGCCCAGGCTCCCTTTAAACTTCCTATGCAGTCAAGAGTGACTTTAATTTTCTAATCCTCCTGCCTCCCCCTTCCTAGTGCTGTGGTTAGAGGCTCATGGTGTCACACATGACTTCTGTTGTGTTGGGGATCAAACCCAGGGCTTCATGCATGCTAGTCAAGTAGTACACTACTTGAGCTATAGACCCCAAAAGATTAGATACATTGGAAAGCCACTAACCTAATCATTTAAATAAGGGAGTGAGATGATCTACTTTGAATTTTTAGAAAGTCTTACTCAAGAAACATTGTCTATTTACTTTCTAGGGACTTTTCTGGGTGATAAAGAAGACTAATGGTCTCAGAGAAACGTGCAGAGAGTGGTTTGGGATGTGTATGGGGGAGACAGATACATCTATCATTGGCATCAAAAGTGTGGCAAGTTATATGTTAATCTATTTTATGTGTTGCTCACTAAACTTTCCACTATGAGCCTATCCATGGCCTTGTTAAAATGATAGGTCTATGTGGTGGCAAACACTATGGAGATCAGTGTCCCAGACACATTTGATTCACCCATAAGTGCTTCAGACCCAAGGAACCCATTACATACTCCCATAAACATTAAGCAACACTGGGAATGAAGGCACTGATGATAGGCACTGGTCCATGAAGATCACATAGTCACGAAGCTACTTCCTATTTATACTGGACACTAAGGAGCTGCAGTCAGGGAAGGGGCAGAGGGAAACAGTTCATTAGGCATACATTATAATGTCTAAAGACATATTGAAAAGCACTCATTCTTGGGGCCTTCCTAACTCTAATCTCTGCAACTCTGGATTTACTTTAGTCACTTGTGTAATACAAAAAAATAAAAACCCAGAGATAGATATTGGGGTTCAAGTTGATGATCAGATAAACAAAGCAGCCAGCCACAAGCTCTTACCTCTATCTCAGGCCAAAATGAGTGACCCTGTCTCCACCAAGCTTCAGACTGAAATCCCAGACTCCTATGCTCTCCTCAACATGGCTGGAGACTAATTCTCTATATGAGACCTTTTGCTTCTTCCTTTTATACCTCTCTCTGTCC